AGAGATAGTTCCATACATTGGAACTAGTAATAATCAGTTTAAATTACTGTTTGAGCAAATTCAAAGTGCCATTCATCAAAGAAATGCACCTTGCTTTGTGGGTAATATAAGAGCTCATTCAAACCCACTGGCTGAATATAATGGTTCAGCTGATGGTCTGACAGAAATGGTCACTTTATCTCAGGTAAAATTAGCTCAGCAGTCACACAGCTTTCATCATCAAAATAGTAATAGTCTAAGAAAACAGTTTGGTTTAACTAGTGAGACACAGAAGGCCATTCAGGTTACTTCCAGCCCTATATCCTGGCTGGCCTCTCCACTAATTTGTAGGGAAGGGATCTCTTAGAAGATAAGGGAATTGTCCTTACTACCAAACCCTCGCCCAAGGCATTCTTCCAAGAGACAAAGCTCTCCAGATGATGTGTAAAATAGGCTGGGACAAAGGATGAGGGCCAGGTAAGCTGGAGCAAGGAGAAATTCTCTCTGTGGCCACTCTGCCATTAGACACTCAAGGTGATAGAAAAGAATTTAGCCATTTTTTAGGAGGGTTGCTGTCCCCATTCCCATTGCATGGATTTCTGACATCCAATGTGGATGGAACATTGGCTCTTAACCGGGAAAAAAAAAAAAAAAAAAAAAAAAAAACTTCTGGCTTCTGGGGGCTTCCCAACTAGTTCAAGAACAATTGGAGGCAGGACATGTGATCCCCTCCACCTCTCCCTGAAAATCCCCTATATTTGTGATTTAAAAGGCTTCAGGAAAATGGAGATTGCTCTAGGATTTGAGGGCCATTAATGCAACAATGCAGCCTATGGGAGCCCTTCAGCCCAGCTTGCCCTCACCTGTGGCTATTCCTAAAGATTGGCGTCTAATTGTTATTAATTTAAAGGATTGCTTCTTTTACATGCTGATGCACTCCCGAGATAGCCCAAGGTTTGCATTTATCCTTCCTTTGATTAATTTTCTAATCTTGAACAAGCCTCTGGCTTTCAGTGGGTGGTGCTCCCCCAAGAAATGGCTAAAGTCTCACAATATGCCAAGCTTATGTGGCTGCCTGCCTGGATCTTATCAGGGGCAAGTTTTCTAATCTTTACTTTATCCATTATATGGATGACATTCTGCTGGCAGCGCCTGCTGAGGAGAGATGTCTTAAAGTGTTTGCTAAATTGCATGAGCTCCTGGAAACTCTTGGATTTACTTTGGCCCTGGAGAATATTCAAAAGAAACCTCCTTACACCTATCTAGGCCATCGAATCCAACAGACCATCCTCCAGCCTCAAAGGCTCCAAATTGATTGCTCAAATTTAAAAACTCTTCACGATCAACAAAAGTTTTTAGGAGATGTTCAATGCATCTGCCTCTCTTTCCATTAAAACAGGGGAGCTTAGACCAATATATGATATTCTTCCAGGGGATCCAGCTCCGACCTCTCCCAGACAAATTACACCAAGGCCAAAGAGGCCATCCAATTGCTATTAAAAAGCATTGAAAAAGCCCATCTTTGCCACCTAGATTATGAACAGCCTCTTGCTGTAGTTGTACTTTCCTCCAGTTTTTCACCCACCACTGGTTTTTGGCAAAATGGCCCTATATATTGGATTCACTTGTCAGCCTCCCCTAAGAAGGTGGTGTCATCATCAAAATAGGAATAGTCTAAGAAAAGCGTTTGGTTTAACTACAGAGACTGCTCAACAAATTGTCAGACAATGTGATATGTGCCCACAGTATTTACCAGTAACTACTATAGGAGCAAATCCTCAGGCCTGCTTCCTAATCATTTATGGTAAATGGATGTTACTCATACTGCAAAATTTTGCAGATTAAAGTATGTACATATGACAGTTGATACATATTTAGGCTTCTTAATGGTCACTGCACAAACTGAAGAAGCCACTAAGCATGTGATAAGTCACTGTTTAAAATGTTTTGCTTACATGGGAGTTCCAAAAAATTATAAAGGCAGACAACAGATCTGGATATACTAGTAAAGCATTTCAACATTTTGTGCCCAATAAAAAAATAAACATATAACAGCAATTCCTTATAATCCTCAAGAGCAAAAAAATTGTAGAGCATGCTCATAGCTCCTTAAAAATGCAACTTATAAGGAGAAGGGAGTCCTGTCCCCAGTCTCCACATGATACATTAAATCATGCACTCTTCATTTTAAATTTTTTGAATGTGGATACCTATGTGCAATCTGTGGCAAACAGATTCTGATATGATGGAACTCAAGAGACTTTTACTCTAGTCAAATGGAGAGGTCCATGCATGAAACTATGGAAAGGGCCCAACCCTGCCTAATATGGGGTTGAAGATTGTCGAGGGCATGTTTGTGTTTTCTTGCAGGAAGAAAATGAGGCTGGTGGCTGCCAGACCATTTGGTGAGATGTGTGAAACAGGAAAACCGGACCTGAGACCTCTCACCTTCTCTCTCTCTCTCTCTCTCTCTCTCTCTCTCTCTCTCTCTCTCTCTCTCTCTTCTCAGTCTCTCTCAAGGGTCATTCTCTAGAACAGGCAAGGCTTAAACCTATTGTTTTTACAACAAGGAGAAATTTGTGCAGCACTCAAAGAGGAATGTTGCTTTTATGCTGATAAGACTGGCTTAATGGAAGACAGCTCAGATAGAATGCAGAAAAGTCTTGAGGAACTTAAATGACAGTGGGAATAGGCCGAGTCCTAGTATAAAAATTGGCTTTCTACCTCCCCTTGTCTTTCTACCTTGCTTCCTTCTTTCCTGGGACCATTTATGGGATTGCTGCTGCTGTTGACTTTTGGGCCTTGGGCATTCCAGAAATTAACTCAATTGATTAAAACTCAAATTGATTCCATGCTCAATAAACCTATTTCTGTACACTACAATCAGCTTTTGGAAAAGGAACAGGGCTCCTGTGAGGAATCTGATGAGGATTGGTGACAATCCCCCTAGACAAGGACTTGATTTCACAGGAACAACAAATGGTTCTCTCATATATGGAAACGTCAATGAGAGGAATATTGCGGTGCCACAAATCAGATGCAGGCCCTCCTGTTTGGCTGTAAGTCCCTCAACAATGGGATTAGCATGGGGCCATCTCTCAGGAGCCCACTCTTCTTGCCTGAGTTTCCTGCCCAATTTTTGACTATGTCCTTAAGTGCTGAGGGCAGATGCACCCTATGTAGCCTAAGACAGAGGTCCTACCCATTCGTCACATAGTGACAAGCCCATCCTCAGGGTCCTGATTGTGGGAGTCCACCGTGTAGCCTAAGACAGACCCTCCATAAAAATAATAAAATAAAGGGAGATGTTGGGAGCCGGCTTTAAGTCACATTCTCTTTCAGAGTTACTTATACCTTAAAACTTTAATTAAGCCTTATCTTGGTAAAACAGAACTGTTTAACAAATAGTCTGCTCCACTCACCCCAGGAACTGAGATGAACCAGACCCCACGAAATAAGATAAGTCAGATGCCAGGAACTGAGATAAGCAGACATTTATGGTCTGATGTTTATGGCCTGGGATATTACCAGAGCCCCAGAGTCAGCACAGCTACCCCTGCCCAATTCCTCCCTGCTTTGCTTTAAAAACCCCTCTTTGTGCCTAATAAAGTTAGACCTTGACAAAGATTCCTTGGTCTCATTCCTGTTTTCTCTCCCATTATTTTCAGATTCTAGCCCACCTCGATCCATGAATAACTAGGTCCTGCTGGTTAGGGCATCTGGTGTTTTCATTATTGCCATCTTTCAATTGCTTGTTCTAGTGGATGCATGTGGAGATTTTCTCTCCCTACTCTTCTCTCATGGTGGGTGTAGGTGGCTCAGGATATCTATAAGTGGGATAGTTCAAGCTCTCTAGGAAGTCTCTCCTCTGGCAGAGGCCTGGTGATGGGGATCAAAGTTCAGGCAGTTGGGACTCAGGGTGGTCCCACATGTGTTGGCGGGTCCAGTGTGCTCAGAGCAGATCCAGGAAGCTCCGTGGAGGTGGAGGGTTTCCTGGACCCATACTCTGGCCCAGCGCTCAATAGGAGCATTGGAGCCATGGGCTCAGTAGGGCACAGGGTCGGCGGAGGGTATTTTTATCCTCAGAGTCTCACCCTGTTGTCATTGTAAGTATCAAAAAGCACTGGATATGTCTTGAAAAAGACTCACAACTTAAGAGGACTTTTTTCATAGATGCCACTGGGTGGTTTTAGCTAATAACAGATCTAGAGAGTGCATTATCTATCTATGTGGAGAGCTGCACTAAACACTATAAGTGATTCTGGGTAATTTGAAACAAGCATATAAGACAATAGGTTTTGCTATTGCTTCTCAAACATCCTTAGTATTTCCTATGTCCCTTTCCAGATGCATCTCTCTCCTTTCTTTCCTATCACTATGTATTCCTCTTGACTCATTCCTCTCTCTATGTAGTACTCACTTCCACTTTCCTAATCAAGCCCTCCACTTATATTTTTCTTTTCATAGGACATGCATCCTGCTAATTAAAAAACAAAACCATTTGTCTTTCTGGACCTGAGTGACTCCACTTAGATGTAATATTTTACAGTTGCATCAATTTGTTTGCATTTTCAGTTTTGTTTAGTGCTGAAAGAACTGTATACTTATACTACATTTTCATTATTCATTAACCAGTTGAAGGATAATAAGGTTGCTTCCATTTCTTTGCTGCTGTGATTAGAATGGTAAAGAACATGGCTAAAAAGTACAACTTTATTGGGATAACAATTGTTTTCAACATATACAAAGGAGTGCTATAGCTCCTTTAAGCTTTTTGAGAAATTTCCACACTGAAATCTAGAGGGGCTCTAACACTTTCCAAGCTCACCAACAGTGGGTAAAGATTTCTCTTCTCCTTCAAGTTCACCAGCATTTGTTGCCACTATAGTGTAGGTTTGAGAGTTTTCTTTTGTTGTTTACTCCTGTTGTCTCTATTATTGGTGAAAATATGGAGTACATTTTCTATATTAACTTCTTCATTATCTTTTATTTGTGTAGTAAATGAATATTACAAGATGACAAAAAACAAAACTAATATATGTTTCACAAGCTACAGTTTATGCCTACTTCCCCATCTGCCTGTGTCACTGTGATAGCCACTATTTTCCCAGATGGAACAGTAATACACAGCTTCATCCTGAACCTGTAGCTCAGAGATCTGCAAATTTGCAACATTTTTGGAGGTATCTTTGGATCCAGAGACTCTACTGGGGACTCCAGGACCCAGCTTCTTATCTGAGTCTGAGTAGTAGTACAGGAAAAACCTAGGAGGGCTCCCCTCTGTTTGCTGGTACCAGTAAATATTTTTTCCCCCAACACTGTTATCACTCCTCAGGCTGCAGGTGAGTCTGGCTGTTGATCCAGGAGATTCAGAGATGGAGGGTGGTTGTGTCAATATAGACTGACAAAAGGATCCTGTAAAAGAAGACACCACAGTGAAAAGCAGAACTGAGATTCACATTCTTGTGTATATACTAGAGGGATTGACTAAGCATTGGCATCCTCTGCAGTACTCTTCAGCCAGCCTGTCCCTACCTGTCAGGTAAGATAGAACCACAAAGATGCCAGGAGTCCAGGCCATTGTAGGCACAACACAGCTTCTTCTTAGACTAGGGTCTTCTGTATGGGCTGTTGCATGATCTCGTTGCCTGGGACCTCACAGAAAAAGAGAGATTAGTCATGCAAATAAGCTTTCACTAACTCCTCCCATCAGATGATTCATATTTTGAGTTCCTAAAACAGCAAGTCAGTTGATGTGAATTATTTGTTTAGTAAAATATAAAACATGTGGTAACACAAAGAAGCCTGTGTGCAAAGAACTCTTTCAGATCCACAGTAGCACAGTTGCTGATTCCTCACAAAATGTGGAGGACTCACTCATCAGGTTCCATATCTGTTACTGTTACCACATGTGATCACCTGTCCTTCAGAAACTCCAGAGAGAGACTCAGCACGCTTCTGTAAGTCCCAGAGCATCAATCACCTTCCACAATTGCTCTGCTATCTTTCCTTCACTTTTTATTTCAGACACATAAAAGGAAAACTACAGGGAACATGGTGATGAGTGCTAGTGGGGCCATCACCGATACATTTTTCTGATGAAGGTGGACAGGCAAGGACAGCATGCATGATCAACCTAGGAGAGCTTGTGAACAATCCAGGAGATGAAGATGGGAGAAGTAGCTGGATAGACAATACATTTTTATTGCTGTTATTTAAACAAAGAAATGAAATTTCTCACATCAGGCTGGGCAAACACTTAAAGAGAATTTGGCATTTAGAAAGGGATGGTGGTGGATTGGGAAGTCAACTACTCAATATTGATGAAGAGGATGGAAAGACAAGGTTTGTTTTGTTTTAGTTTTTGACAAGACATTTGAGAATTTACTACTTCTTACAGGACTTGATTTTAGGTGACTCTGAGGGGTAGTTAACAATGTATGAATGGTGGATATCTGACTTTTTTGCATCATCATTGTGTTCTAGAGACAAGGGAACTGATTTTCATGTTCAAGATATATATAAAACAACAAAGATAGCAGATAAACAGAGGGCAGGATGATGGTCAGGGAAATATTACTTGCAATAATAGATACTAACACATGATAGGTGAGGAGTGTGGTAAAATATTGTAGTGATCTGTGCTTAAAAGGCAGATATAGCCAGTGTAACAACAGAGCTCATAGACCACTACTCCTTAAGTGAGGAAACAGTAATTCAAAAGAAAATAAGAGCACATAGGCCACTGATCTCCACAGAGAGTCTAGATGGCCCTAGGTCTCCATTTCCACCTCTGTAGACCAGTGCCTGTTCCTTCAGATATGTTTCCACTGAGACTGTCAAGGCTCCTTCTGAGCTCTGCTGCAAGAGCTCTGCTCACATGACAGCCTGAGGCAGAGGTAGTTAAGCATTCAATAGTGGGAGTGTCCTGGGAGAAATAACTAGCTAACACTATGCCCCTTTCTCCATGAACTCTGTCAGGACAGAAAATACCACTGCTGAGTCTCCCTTTTGAGCACAGGATGAGCCCCAAAGAGCAGTTTCTTTGAATGAGTGGAAGTGGTGTCATACCACAGTTCCACAGCGCCCCCTGTTTGCAAAAATCTCTTAGTTACCTTAGTTTAGAGACCTCAGAATCCAACTAGAATCTACTACTCCCCAGATCACCCATACCCAGACCCTGATGTCTAAAATCTGTAATGCATCCTTTTTTCTGTTGTAAAGGTTGTCACATTCCAAAAACAAATCTTTGACACCATTATAAAAACATCCAAAAATATTAAAGTGTTAATTCACCCCCAGATGAATGGTAACTATCAGATTACTTCAATAGTATGTGTTTTGAAATGAAGATATATGTTTTGGTTACACAAGCACCCAAACACATACAAATATTATTTAGCTCTAAAGAAAAATGAAGTTTGTAACATCCAGGAAAATGTATGTATATATAGAATGTACAATGTTAGGAAAAGTAGCACAATGTCATATTTTGTTCATATTTAGAATCTAGCCAGTAATATATGTATATTATAACATATTATATTATGTATAGTATAACATGAATAATACAGAATAACTAAGGTTAACTTAAAGGGATGTGGGAGGACTGAACACGGTTAGTAGTCATGAATATTGAAAATGGACATAAGGTAAATGTTTTTCTAGTTCTAATTCTGCTAGGGAAATTTTGGTTTGGGTGGTGAATAACTACAAAACGTATATTTGATACAAAAATGTAAAATTTAATGTGAAACTTTACAGCTTATGTTGAAAATGTGTACTCCAATTGTATAGATGTTTGTTGCATTTGTAGCCTATCACATAAAGAGCGTGAACAGCTTTTCAGCCACAAGTGATTCAGTTGTGTGAGCAGGTATGGAGAGCTGGAATCTGCATAGCCTTTCCTGTTCTTATTTAGGTTGTTGATACCCAAAAGAAGTGCTTTTTTGTGATCTACACTCTTCTATGTACATTCTTTCATATGTAGCTTTCCTAACAACCAGGGAATTTAGAGGTGGACAAAGGGAATTTAGTAACTCACTTTGGCCTTACTCTATCCCAGAACTTGAGAGAGTGAGTGCAGCTTTCCTAGGAGGCAGCTGCCACATGAATTTTCTGGGCTTGAAGCAGGACTCTGCAGCTGTGCCCCTTTATTCCTATATACCAACAGCAAATTCCCTCCTCTTCTGTGGAGAGGGAGGCTGAGGAATTGACTCAACCTCTGACAGGTTCTTACTTCATAAAGCCCTTTACAATGTTGACTCAAAATTATTCCTCCCCAAAAGCCAAAATAATTATGCTGACCATTTATTTTCTGTAGTTCTGTCTCTCTAAAATAATTTCTACCAATGTGTGGAGGCACATTGCATATTTCCTTAACCCTGTCTTCAACTTTGTATCCAGCTCTCTGAAGCTGGACTCATTCCACATTCATAGATAATTCCTCCACCCACTCAATTTTTAGTTTTAAAATCTTTTCTTCTCTCCACACTGTTTATTTCCTTCCCCTGGTCCTGTCTTCTCCTTTCTTGTCTACAACTCTACTGTCTCTTTTACTGAAACTACAATACACTCCATAGTTGCTCACCTCAGATGTGGGTTCCATTCTAAACCAAAACATTTATTCCCTGAGAGCACTCAACAGTGCAGGAGTGTCATGTTAAAATATTCCTAAATTATCCAACCTATTGATGTTGCCCTCTGTTATTTCCCAGAGTGGTAAGTCTGAATTGATGAAGATACCACACACTTGAAGAACACTTCCCTAAGAGCTATCAACTGTACTGATTTGAACGTTCCATTGCTCACATCTATTTTCCATGATATCAGAAGATACCATGCAAGTTTCAAAGGAAGGAAAATAAATAGTTCTACCCAGCTTGATACCTATGAACTGTGAAATAATCAGCATAGTATGACAACCCTGAAGATTCAATATTGAGGAACACACTTTGATGTAATCTCTACTGGATGTAAGCTCTCTACTGGAAATTAAGACCCACACAACAAGAGGGATACCATTTCATCTAGTGAAAACCTAACTACACAATGTAGAGGAAAATCTACAACCAATAACTAACTTTATCACCACAATCTGAAAACAAAATCTACAAACATGTCCTTATACTTGCAGATAAGTATAATTCTCATCCATCATCAATGAAATTTCTCTTTGAGAAAGATGGTGACCACTACAGAAAAGAACAATAAATCAAACCATAGAGATAGGGTGCCTAGTCCCAATGAATACAGCTACAAAATAATCCTACACTTCAAGGAACATAGCGTAAGAGGAGGTGGAAAGATTGTAAGGACCAAAGAACCAGTGAGTTTTCTGTGAGATTGTGTCTCCTAGTAATGCCAGAAACAATTCCCACAATGTCTCACCAACATGCATGAACTAAGAAAATCCCAAGGCCATACTCATTAATAAAGAATTACCTCTACCAAAGAATGTTAAGTGTGTGGGAAATAATGTTTCCAATGAAAGAACAGTTATTGGTTGTCCATTATCAGATGTTCATCCTGGAAAATATTTATACAAGTAATATTATGTAAACTGAGCAGGTTATATGTGGGAATATACATGCTTATATGTATTTATATATACATACATATATAATAATGAAAAATGAGGTCATGGTTTTCAAGAGAGTAGGGTGGCATATATGGGAGGGTATGGGAAGAATAATGGGAAAGGGAAATGTGATCATGATCTCAAGAAAAAATTTTTAAAAAAAACAATTTTAATGAAAAAAGTTTTGAAGTCTACTAAAGTGAAAAGGTAGCAGAACTTGATAAAATTCTAGATATGATTAAATCACAGAAATTAAACCAAGAAGAGATCAATTTAATCTAGTCTTTGAAATGAGGAGATTGAAGCAACACCAATATTTTTTGCAACTGTAAAAACTTTGAATCTAGATGGACCCACCACAGAATTCTAATAGATTTTAAAGGAATAGCCACACCCAATACTACTAAATTCTCACTGTGAAGCCAGATACCCTCTACTATGAAAGCTATGTGAATTCAGAGAAAAAAATTAAAATTTCATAGTAAGATAGGTAGTTGCAGTTTTTCATCAAGGGCCTACTAAGTGTCCAGCCATGGGTCCTTGGCTGGGTTATGGTACAAAGCACAAGCCCCTAAAGTTGAGTTAACTTTGGATCCAATTAGGGAGTGGTTGGTAATCTGTAAGATGCACGTGCCTCTATAGCACTTTTAGGGATGTCTTGCTATGCCTTTTGTTTTGTTTTCAACCTTTTCATCTGGGTAGGAAAATTGATAACATGGTACCCTTATAGCAGTTCCCATATTTATAAGGACTATCCCTAAGGGAGGAATCTTCCAGATCAATGGCACTTTGATGATCATAGGGTATAGTGATCTTCAACAATAGGATCTCACCCTGATGTTATTATGTGGTAGCCAAAAAGCAATGGCATTAGCTTCTAAGCTTTGGAGGTCTCTTGGGATACACTAACAACTCCAGTGAATGTTTTTCATAGCTACCCCTGGGTTGTTTTACTTAATATACAAGTTCATAGGATGCATTATCCCAGTATGTAGAGTAACCTCACTATCACAATAGAAGTGTTTCTATGTATTTTTAAGTAA